GGTATACAAAATATATTGTATATTATTTACATTCTTTAAAAATATGTGTATATCATGTACTATGTTAGTGTGCACAGTACATTTTTATATTTGCAGACATGTTGCAGCAGAGCGATTTTATCCCATCTCATTCCTTTGGTATGCGTAAAATTTCTGTTGAATGGAGTTTTCTTATATTTCTTTGGTACATCGCAAATACTGAACCATTACGAACCTTGGGAGATAGATTCGATGTATCTATATCCTCCATTTTTCGTGTAATACGTCGTGTTGTGGAATGGCTATTATCAAGATTGGACGAAGAGATAAAGTGGCCAGAGGAAAATAATGCCATCCTCATGACATCTCAAAAATTCGAGGCAAAACGAGGTATAAGAAAATGTATCGGAGCAATAGACTGTACACATATTGCAATTCGACAGCCTGTTAATCATCCTAGAGACTATTGCAATAGAAAAAGGTTTTTCTCTATCGTATTACAAGGTGTGGTAGATGCAGATATGAAGTTTACAAATATTTACTGTGGAGAACCAGGTTCATTGCACGATGCACGTGTTTTAAGAAGATCATTACTTTATGATACTGCTCAAAATGACACAGAAAACATTTTCCCCAATGAAACATGCATAATAGGAGATTCAGCTTACCCATTACTACCATGGCTTGTACCTCCATTTAGAGATAACGGTCATTTAACCGCACAGCAAACTGAATTCAATTTCTTACACTCTTCAACGCGGATGCCCGTAGAGAGGGCGTTTGGTTATTTAAAAGGACGTTTTCGCCGTTTAAAATTTTTAGAATTACTTGATATTCAATTTATTCCAAAATTAGTAACAGCCGCTTGTATAATGCATAACGTTGCGATAAAAGAAAATGATGAAAATGAATTCTTTGATGATTCTAATGATTTTCTTGTAGACAACGTCGCGAATGACAATTATGAAAATAATGATTTACATGTTAATAGAAATAGGAATGAAATAATAGATCGGAGAATGCAGATGTTCCACGAGCTGTTTCCAGAATAGTTGTAAAAGTTTCTTTCTGTACCTATTTACACTCTTTTACTTTTATTTTATTTTTAAAATCAAATAAAGAAAAAATAATTTTCATTTTCATAAACATAGTATTTATTTATTTCTATCACAG